TGGAAAGCTATAGCTAGCAAGTATCGAAACATCACACCCTAATTTAATAACATGTGGCTTCTGCAGTGTTTGGTGACGCAGACACAGTGGGAGATTTGTTTCAATCCTTTTGTGTTGTTTTTTGCTTAGTTAATGATACATGGCTAACAAAAGATAGATAAAAACACTAAGTGGAGAATGGGTCGAAAAAGATGGAAAATCATTTTGCTTGGATGGGATATGTGTATAAAGACTCCTTAGAAAAGTAATATGGAGGCTTTTGGATTGGAAGAGAGTGTCTCTCTTTGTAGGGCAACGGATAAGAGTACTGTTGTTTGAGCATGTTTTTTCCCTACTTTGACATCCTCTGCTTGCAGCTTGGAAATTAAAGTGAGTGTTTGGGATATCGAATGTTTTGTAATTTAGATTTTAGTGGTCTGGCATGCAGATGTTTCAGTATTTAGGTATCGTTTGGTATACATGATTGAACTAGATAAGAGAAGAGTGATTTGTAATTTGAAGAAATTAGAAGAAGATTAAACATGAAAATAATTTCTCTCTTGTTATTCTCTCGTTTTGAGGAGGATTGTAATGGCTATTTTTTATTTTTTACTTTTTTTTCTGAGTGATCTCTCTCCTGGCTCCAAGTTGGCCACAACCTTTTCATTTCTTCTTTCAACGTGCTTTGTAAATAGTGATTTATCCATTTCATTCAGTCCAATTCTTTATACCAAACGATGATGTAGGAGGCTTTCCTCACATGGATTAAGAGAGAGATGTATATCATTCGCAACTTTTAATAGCATTTCCATTAAGAAAAGTACTCCACCTCTGCGTCGAGGTTCTTAAATAGGTCAATCCACATCTTCGACCTATGCTGCTATGCTATGCATAACTCCATTGAAAAGGGGGAGTTTCTTTTGTATTGGCTGCAAACGAAGTGCTACATCAAACTATTGTCTCAACCGTACAAATTCTTAGGACCGAACCACTGGATCACGTGAACGTCTAGCTGAAGATACATTAGGTGCTGCCAGAAGGGGGCGAGTGGGCATGATCGGGGTGTTTTTGTGTCTTAAGTCGGTGGGTTACGTAATGGTTGTCCAAACCCTTTTCCTCCAGGTTGCTTAGTTGGGCTTGGTGTGGTGCTGCGATATCTCTGGCCTCAACATCGATTATCTCCTCGTTGGCGGCGACCTTGGAGGCCGCTGACTTAGCAAATGTGGCGGCAGCGGACTACATCTTATTTTGGGAATTAGGTTTATTTTGTAATGGTTTGTTGTCTTTAAATTTTTTTTGAGTCTAACTTGTGTGGGGCTTTATTTTATTTTTTGGTTGTAGTTCTCTCATTTCACTTGGATTTTTTTACGTTTTTATGTCTGCTTTATTTAGAGCAGTTTCACCACTAACACAAATGCACCAGCACCCAGCGCATTTATCCACTCATTGAACAGTGATAGACCTCAATGAACAGTAATAGGCCAAATGCATTTCCACCCCTAAAAAAATGTGTTGGCACAAAGTCTAAAAATGCGCTGGCACAAACGATTTCCACCCCTACAAAATGCGCTAGTACCCAGCCCATTTAAAATTTTTTAAATTTTTTTATAAAAGAATAAATAAATAAAATAGTTTTAATTTCGAATAAGATTTTTAACCAATCTTGTCATGCCATGTGTCATTATCTGAAAGTACTATTTTGTGAATAGATTTCCGCTAAGATTTGCAACCAATCCCGATGCGCCACGTGTCACTATCTGTTTACAATAATTTAGCCAAGATTACAATAAGATTTTCAACCAATCTTATTACGCTACGTGTCATTATCTGAACGTACTATTTTGTGGATGGATTTCCGATAAGATTTTCAACCAATCAAGATGCGCCACATGTCACTTCATGTTTGCAATAATTTAGCTAAGATTTCGATAAGATTTTCAACCAATCACGTAATGCCATATGGCATTGTCTAGAACCTCATCCTTTATTTTTTTTTGTCCATATAAACCCTACAACTCTACGTCCATCCTCACACCAAACTCAATCCTTCTTTATAGCACAGAATCTTTCTTCATCGTTTTCAAATCTTGAGTTTTTTTTTTACAGTGTCTTCTTCAAGGAGAGTGTATAAACATTTTGAGGAGCAACAGAAAAGATTGTTGGCACAACATGAAGAATTGATTAATCTCGAGGAAGGTGGAGGTGGAGATGAAGCTTTCGCAATGAATGTGGATGAGGATGATGACCATAGAAGGCAGAGGGCCTCACATTCCTACCATGTCATGGAAGTTGTGGGTCAGATAGCCAAACCCAGACGTGTCGCAAACTTCGATAGAAAAAGGGAAAGACGAGGTAAAGATCTCTTGGAAGATTATTTTATTCCCAATAGCATATTCCCTGATCAAGTTTTTAGACGTCGTTTTAGAATGCAACGAAATTTGTTTGAAAAAAATCATAAGTGCTATTTGCAACCATGATCCATACTTTGTGCAAAAAGAGGATGCTTTTTGTGTTCTAGGTCTTTTTCTTGAGTAAAAAATTAGGCCTGCCTTGCGAATGCTTGCATATGGAGCATCTGCAGATCAAGTGGATGAGATCGCGAGGATGGGAAAAACAACCGTTCTGAAGTCCCTGACACGGTTTTGCTATGCAATTGAAGCCCTGTACACCAATGAGTACCTCCGGACACCACGCCAAGGGACATGCAAAGGCTTTATGAGGAAAGGTGAGATGCAAGGCTTCCCTGACATGATTGGAAGCATGGACTGCATGCACTGGACTTGGAAAAATTGTTCAAATGCTTGGCAAGGAGCTTATAGCGATAGAAAATAAGCAAAAGGTATGATTTTGGAAGCGATGACTTCATTTGATACATGGATTTGGCATACTTTTTTTGGTGTTCCAGGAGCTCAGAATGACTTAAGTGTCCTTGCCCAATCTCCAGTGTTTGACGAATTGCTGCAAAGAAAATCGCCGAGATGCACATATTGGGTTAATGGCCATAAATACGACAGACCATACTACCTTGCAAACGACATTTACCCAAGGTGGTCAACGTTTGTCAAAACAGTGCCACATCCACAGAGTGAAAAAGAAAAACACTTCGCAAAATGTCAAGATGGGTGTAAGAAGGATGTGGAGTGTTGTTTTGGTATCCTGCAAGCTCGTTGGGTGATTGTCAGGTTTGTTGCTAGAATGTTTGATGTCGAGGCTCTTCGATCCATCATGATGATGTGTATTATTCTCCACAATATGATTGTGGCAGATGAGTATGATTATGATGTCGTCGATGAATACGAGCCGGATTCGATGAACAACTCAAGAACACGTATCTACTGTGCTCATGACTGGACCGAATATCCCATGCAACAAGAGTCGTTGGAACGGGATGGACGTTACAATGAATTGATTGTTCAACAATACATCGCAAAACGCTTTCGTAATTTTACTCCATGAATTGATCATTCCGGATCGAAGACCTTGACTACTTCTAGTGTCTTTTCCATGTACATCACAAAACTCTTTCGTAATTTTACTCCACATTTCTTGCTTATCCATCTCATTACCCATAATCGGGTCATGAGTTGTGTGAATCCAACATTCACACAACATAACATCTTCAATGAGCTTCCACGAAGTTATTTTTTTCTCTCAAAGTGTAGAAAATATTGAAATGTAGAAAGTGTAGAAAGTGCAGAAAATATTGAAATGTGGTATAAGGTGGAAGATGATGATTAGGTATTTATAGATAAAATAAAATAAAATATTTAAAATATTTATGTATTTTAAAAAAAAATTTATGTATTTTTTCATAATTTTTAATAAATTTTAATTTAGTTAATTAATCTGGACCGTGTTGGGGGAAGAACATGGACTGTTGATCTGTGATCAGACGGTCCAGATCAAAACTGAAATTCAATTTTTTTTTACAGTTGGAAATCCAATGGTCTAGAAAAACTAGCCATTGGAAATCCAACGGCGCAGGGCAGCCCATGTGGCCTCCCTGGTTGAGGTTTGAGTGCGCTGTGCATGCGAGCCCCCGTCTGCAAACTTGTCGGCTACTCGCGCCCACGCGCGCCTATATTGCATGTGCCTGGTGCAAAAAAAAATTGAATTGCCCTTCTACACCGCGCTGGCGTCAACATGGCGTCAGATGGGCCAGTCCCAAGGTTTGTCAATTTTGGGTTGGCTTGGAGACGACCTTGGGCTAGGTGCCAGGCAATCTGCTGGGCTAAAGAGACTTCCCTAGGTGTCGGGCCATATTTTTGGCTGTGTGCCGGCCTATCCCACCCCTGATGGAAGTGCTCTTATGTATGGGTAGGGCTACAATATTCTCTATCACGAATATAGTTTATTATTTTTCAACGAAAAGAAGTAAAATATTGAAATCCCAATTGCCTGCACAATACAGATCCTCAATGCAATTATTGCTCAAATATTTAAACAAAATTTAATAAGTTGGTTCTTGAGTTCTTAGTCTTATCAGCTCCTCCAAAAGAAAAATACAAAAATAAATAAATAAAAAAACAAAAGAAATGTCTAGATAGGAGAAATTTTTAGGTTTGACTATTCAGACAAGGTCACGTCCACGGAAAAATAGATATTCTCCGGATTCCTTCCTTCTAATCCACTAAGTTCGGAGATTCGGATTGTTGAAATTAGATTAAACGGCTACAAACAAGAGTCTACTTTAAAAGTTATAAAAAATTTAACCATTGAATTAAATTTCAACGGTACGAATCTTCAAATTTAATGAATTAGAAGGAAGGGATCCGGAGCAAATCCCTTCCCCACATCCACCAACTACGAGGTCGTATTTTGATTTAATTGACCTTAAGTTGGCCTTATTTGATTGTGTCCGTTATTGTATACGACGGTTGGATACAAGAACTTCTCTTCGATCAACGGGCTACAATAGAATAGAATATGATAAGAGTCATAAATAATTGCAGGTGGACACGATCGTCTGAGTACTGCGTACGTTGTAATGTTGTCGTAGTTAATTTACTACTCAATTATTGGAGTGAAGGAGCTGCTGCCTACGTGGAGTAGGTGCCACCGTGCACCGCACAACACACAACATTCTAAGTACGGCAGCTGTTACTTTCGTTTTATTTTTGACGAATTGGAGCCCGCGCCTCTCACCTCTCACCTTCACAGATCCCACAGCCCAGCAAACCAGTGAAACCACCACACCCAGCAAACCCCAAAAAGTCCACCTTGGTCTGACGGTTACCGTTAAACCTACTGTTTAGCTCCCCGCTGAGCTCTGAGAAGACCCAGGAAAGCTTTCTTCCCACTCCCAGGTATTTTTTTGAGGACCCAGGCAGAAGTTCAAACTTCCCAGAAAGCCTTTTTTTTTTCTTTTTTTTTTTTTTTGTATAATTTTTTATTGCTTTTTCTATATATTTAAATTTTGCATTCATTTTTTATTCCTCAATTCTGCAAATTTGTTTGTTTAATTTGCTTAATCATTGGAACTTTATAGTATTTAGTGAAAGTCTTTAGCTTCAAAACTTTTATGCGGAGCTGTCATGTCACAAATCTGGATGTTCTTCATTTTGTTGCATATTTTGTTGACAAGACGATATTTTAAACTAATCTAATTTATAAGAAGGCAAATTCGAACTTGGGTGCAAAGTGGCGTGCTGCCCGACTGGCCTAAGCTGTTGTTTAAGAGAGAGAAATGTGTATGAACGGTCATACACATTAATTTCCCGTAGAGTTTAGATCTATAATCCTGGAAGAATATCTCTGATCCATCAATTTTAGTGGATAGATTTAGCTTAAAGCTTTTGTATCCTTAGTCCTTACCAATTATGAGTAGGGATTCTGAAGGGAATGGTTAATCTAATTTGGTGCTTGTATCACTGAAGTGATAATTTTGGAGAGTAACCTAGTAGCGGCTTTCGCTGCTAATTAGGCAGATGCAATGCCATTCTGAATGTGTTTTCCCACCTAACGCGGGGATATCAATGTCGACAGAATTTGATTGAGTTGTGAAGTTTCACTTTCATTTTTAGCTTACACTGAATTTCAGACGTTTGCTTGTTATTTTTGTTACTTAATCTCGATTAGTCTCTTCAAGTGGTGGTAATATGGATTTAATTATCTGTACCAATGACTATATTTTGGGGCTTATTCATATCATTTCTTGCTCTAAAATAAGTTTGCCTTGCTCAGCCTTCTCTTTTGGAACTTTTTCGATACTCAGAGAGAAGAGATCAGGTTGCGAAAGCACGAACTGAGCATTTGCCATGGAAGACCACGCTGTTTGTGATATCAATGTTGTGCCATCTAACGAGTCTGGCGTGCAGGAGTTAGAGAGTTCCATGAAAGTTTTAACAAAGGTGGACTTGGACTTGGCATATTCTTCTGAGAAGTTAGCAAATCTCCATGTACCTCTGATGTACCTTTTGGCTCAGCAAAATGATCTTGAGGCAATGGCCACCGCGAATAACTATATTCTGGCAGACTTCATTGAAAAAGTATTGGTATTCAATCTCCTGTCTAGCATTTTAGATTCTGAGGTAAGAGAGCTGGACAGTTACATGGATAATCTCCGGGTGGAAATTGTTGATGCGCATCCAAAAATATCTTCGTGCAGACACTTGGGAGAACTGTACTCTATAATGAAAGGAAAACTAAATGATTCTGAAGAATCACTAAAGCAATCTCGACAGCAGATTTCAGAGGTCAAGATGCAGTCAGAAAGGTTTCAGAGAACCGTTCTAGCTTTCGCGCATGAAAATTGTAAGTTCTAATTTTTCCGTCTAGTTTGGAGATTCTTTAAATTCAAATAGAGACGATGCATTTTTACATGGTTATAATTTACATGAGGCACACATGTCAACAGGGAAAACTGACATTGCCATGGATTTATCCGAGAATGCACAACTGTCGAATAAAAATGCAATGTCAAATTTAAGGATGCCTAGACAACAAAGACATAATCTATGGATGCTGGAGAAGTCTCTTACAAGGGAGCTATATCTTGAGAAGAAATTAGCTGAGTCAAGACAAAATGAAGAAGAACTTAAAGTGAAGCTACATCATACTGAACAGGTATCATTTCGCATGGAAGAAGCTGCGGAAGTTGTTTGGGGAAGATTTTTAGAGGCAGAGAATGCTGCTGAGGTTCTCCAGGGAATTTCGAAGGAGTTATTAGGTAGACTGCAGCTTGTTCATTTTAATCTGAACGGTTCAATTCAACGAGAAAGTGAGTTAAAATCCAAACTTCAAGCTGGTCTGGAAGAGCTTAGATCGAAAGATACTGCTTTGCAGAAGCTCCACAATATCCTTGCCGAGAACATTAAGAAAGATGTTGAACTGTCTGCTTTGAGAGAAAAGGTGACGCTCCTTGAGAAACAGCTGAAAGAATCACAGCTCCAGTTGAAGAATGCAAATGCCACGAATGAATCAAGTGAAGAGAAACTAGGGGAAATGGAAAGTTTAGTTGCCTCTTTGAAAGGAAACATCTATGTAGCAGAAGTTAAGGCTGAGAATGCAGAACTTAAGGTTGCAGAATTAACAGGAACAAATATGGAACTCACCGAAGAGATGAGTTTTCTCAAAGGAAGTGCTACTGGCACAGAAAAAAAGGTTGGAAGTCTCGAGAAGCAGCTGAGGGAAGTAGAGATACAATTACAGCATGCCAAAGCATCCTCCGAAGCAAGTCAAGAACAGCAGAATATGTTATATGCTGCAATTTGGGATATGGAAACTTTAATTGAAGATCTGAAATCAAAGGTTTCCAAAGCAGAGATTAAGATAGAAAGTACCGAGGAGCAATGTATAATGTTATCTGAAACTAATGCAGAACTAAATGCTGAAATAACTGTTCTAAGGGATAGAGTGGAATACTTGGAATCGTCTTTGGATCAAGCTAACAATGCAAAACTTGCAAGTGCAGAAGAACTCAAGTCCAGGATCAAGCTCATTATGGATATGGCAATGCAACTGGCCGTAGAAAGGGAGCGCATCCAAAATCAGGTATGTCTTGTATAACCAATTCCCTCTCGTGCTCAAGTCCCGTTTCAAATGAGAAATCTGTCTCTTCAAATACGTATAGGAAAATAGAAGTCGCTGAATTGACACCGAAGAAAAAAATGCAAGGTGTCCGAGTAAAGAAAAATTACAAGCATATTCATATTATTTCTGTTAACTATAGTTTCTTCTGTGCAGATGCATGCCTTAACAATGAACAAAAAACTTCTGGTGGAGAAGATATGGAACACCAAAAAAGATGCAACCGAGTGCAACAATAAACACATTGACAACAACGAGCTTCCGTCTTTCCAGTGTAATCCTCCAAGTGCTACTTCTATAAAAACATCCGTGGAAGATGTGACATATTCTTTAGATAAAAGTTTCCAGGCAGGTATTCTTTTGGATCTTCATGCATAACCAGGACCGCCTGCCACTTGTATAACTGTCAATTATTAAGAGGTGACAATATAGTTTTAAGTCGCAGCGGTTGCAACGAAATTTTTAGTTGTCTTTGTTTTCCTTTCAAAATCATAGAACTACATAATGAACTCGAAGACGGAGTTTGAGATTGACCTTTTCTGTTTTTTTTTTCCCTGATTTATTTGCTCATTCTGGATCATTCTTCTCACAAATTCTTCAATATTCACGGAATCAGGTAGATGAAGCGTCAGCAGAGGCACCTGACTGTGATAATGATGCGGGGGCTTCCAGTTCTGTACATAGTCCCACTGGCTCGGATACAGAACTTGACACTGTCGAAGTGGTAGAGGCCAAACGCCTGAGCCTCAAGCATGTTTTCATGGTAATTGTTCTCATATCAGCCATATATTTGCTTAACCAGGAATCTTTCCTCGTTGACGAATTGTGACGAATAAGCTTTCTCACGCCTCTAACATCACGATAAACCTTTCATACCGGCGACACATTGTTCCATGATATTTTCTTCTGGAGCACTTTACTTCTCTACACTGAGCGTGGTGTCTTGTTACTAGGATTTCTAGGTTCTGCAGAATAAAACGTTGTTTAAGCAGGACGTATTGTATTGTTCGAAAATTCGTTTACTGTACATATAGGTTGTCTGTATGATCTATCGGCTTTTCGATGGAATTTGGAAATGTGCAGTGTTTTCCACAGGGTGATTCAAATTCGAAGCTAAGTGTACAATTTAACAAGTGATTAAAATTTAAAAAGGAAAACTAATGAAAAGAGTTTGAAAACTTTGAGTTTTAATGATAAAGACAAAATAAAGGGTAAAGTGAATAGTTCCTGTATTGATTTTTTAGTGTAAAAATATGATTTTTCATTAAAATAAACAGTACCGTGGGCTTTTCATTAAAACTCCCAATTAAAAAAAGTAAAACTAGTTGCCTTCGGCGTAACGTGAATTTCGAGTGGTTGCCACTTGGTAATTGGTTTATGTGACGTTTAATCTTCTTATGATCACCAAGATTAGAAGCAAAGCAATAACGCCAATGAAATAATAAAGGTATTAATTACTTTAATTATTCAACTCAGACAATGTCATAGTACTACAGCCTTATCCCCTTGTTCACATTTCACGGCAATTGGTTTGGTCGAAAATTGGCTTCAACTTGGAGTTGGGGACGAGCGTTGCCACCATCACATATGCATTCGCCGTTAACGCAGCGCCAGGGAAATCCTTCGCACACACTGCTGCAATCTATCATCCCCGGACACCGGAGTTTTCCCCTTGCTTCAGCTCCCGGCACGTTCCGCATTGCCATGCCTGTATAAATTACAAACTAATTTAAACCAACGTGTCAAAGTGAAATTGCGTGTGTGAGAGGGAGAGAGAGAGACTAACAAGCAATTATAGTAAAAAGAAGGACCAAAGAAGCGAGCTTGAAAGATGGTTTCTTCTCCATATTGTTCTTGATATTGTTGTGGTTGAGGAACTTGTAGAGTTGCTGGTTTCAGTGCTTTGTATACAGAAGCGGATCATTTTGCACGTCATTTTATAGGAGACAAAATCAAATGAAACGGAAGGTCAATTCTATGTATAGATTTCAAAAAATCCTCCATATTAAGAAGGGTGTATTCAATTGGGATTTTGAGTGATTTTAATTCTTTTAATTAATCTATGGATATTCAATTAGGATTTTAAGTGATTCTCTGAAATTCCGTGTATTCAATTAGAATTTTAAAGTGGTTTATAATATTCTAGTGTATTAAATTAGAAATTGATTTTAAAGAATTTGAGAAAGTTGAAGAATTAGAGGGAATTTGAGAGATTTTGTAATGTATTTTAAGTATCTACAAATCTCACATCTCCCCATGAGATTTCAGGAGAATTTATATGGAATCTCTACAAATTAATTAAACTCCATAAAAATCTATGAATTTATAAATCCATTAAAGTCTCTCAAATTCTCAATTGAATACACGTCCTAAATTAAATCACGAGAGAATGAATCATTCTCCATAACGAGATATTTGTGAAAAATATTGATGACATTCAAAACCCAATTTTAATGCTTGCAATTTTAGGGTGTATTGACACACTCCAACCAAAGTCGATGCGTGCTAGTTGACACCCGAAGGTGACGTAACCATAAAGGAAAGTGATGCATAAAAATATGGATAAATTTAAATCGAAACTAGGATTTATTTAAGCTAATAAAGTGTGTGCGTAATAGTGGGAAGAACCCATAAAACACAAATGTTCAGAGCATAGATGACAAAGGTAGTGCAGTCAAAACTAGTTAAGTACTTAATACATAACCGAGAAATGCTCCATACAATTATTTAGGTATGTCAGAATCCACCAGAGTTTCCTCATATGCCATAGAGAATTTAGCTATCTAAGACCTGTAGGGGCGGAAAAAAAAAATGGTGAGTGGGCAAAAACAAAGGTTTATAAAACACATTTATTTTCCGAACATACTAACCCCTCGCTGTAAAACATGTATAGTTTCCAGAAAATCATACTACGTATAAATATGAAATCAAATGCAAATCAACAATAATTCCCGAAATATGCCAATCACAATATCTCAACAGTAGCATAATAAAATCAGCTACTCATCGATCTATACTAGCACACAAGTCGGAGTCGCCTAATGCAACTTATACAATTGAATTGATGCTTATCAATTTATGCTAACACACAAGTCAGAGTTGCTAATGCAACTTGTACGACAGGACTGGGTGTAATCATAATATACGCTCTAGTGCTACAATTACGTGAAGACTGTCGCTATTCACGATTACATACGAGTCGGAGCTGCCTATTGCAACCTGTATGACATGATTGACACCTACTTGGATTCAAGGCAAGCGTGCGGTGTGGATGTGAACATACACGTGAAATACTGGTCCTGGCCCTGGCCCTGGGTGAGCATTAACATTGGGTGCAACAATGATGAGCAGACTACATAAATATAAGCATGCCATAACGATTCAATAATTATAGTCAACATAATAAAATTACATGCACATCTTGTAGTATTATTTTAGCGTTTCACAACAGTACAACATTTCTTATAACATTATTTAATCATGGCATAATAGGCATGAATCAATTCAAAAACATTTGTAGAAACTATAAAACTTTATATATCATATATATAAAAACAAACGTCCACTCACTGATATGTGGTCAGATCGTAGCCTTCTTGCCTTGTTTGACCTCGTACTTCTTCAGGATAATTTTCTCCTATATGTGAAATAACTAAAATAAATAATTAATTTACACATACACAAAGAGGCTAGGAAAACCCTCATAGTTTGCTCAAACAGAGGGTTTAATATACAAAAATGTTCTACTCGACGTTTCAGACCCATACATGTCAAGCACACGCCGACCGGAGGCCAGACGCATCCTCACGCGCAGGTCAGAAACTGATAGACCTAAGGAATATTCCGTCAGACTTGACGGAATATTCCGTTAAATAGTAATGAAACCTAACGACGTCAGAATATTCTGTCAACTTTGGTTGAGAAGAAGAAAAATCTGATTGGGTGCAATAATGTGGGAAAGTGGTGGTGAGGAAAAAGGGCATGGGTCCAATTTTTAAAAGAAGAAGGGGATAAGATTTTCAGATTGTGTACCGTAAGTCATACATCAACAATCTTTCTCCTTATCAATAACAGTGTCTCCCACACTGATGAATTAACACATGCGTGTACCAAATTTTCCTGTTGTTAACGTACTTTAACTGTGCTTAACTTTTTCGTTACAGCTCTGATTTGGGTCTAACTCGTGATCATGCATTTGTAACAACGAGTACTATTTAATTACGATAACGAGAAAAATAATTTAAGAGTCGAATAACTACGTCCACGTCAGGTTTCACTTTTGCCAAAAAGGGCATAAATGTCAATTTCCACACTCGGGGAGAAAGTTACGTGAAAAATTAGGGACGGATTGTGTCACATCCCAATCTCAATTCCGCCGGAGCACGATATTGTCCGCTTTGGGCCCCAACCACATCCTCACGGTTTTGTTTATGGGAACTCACAAGCAACTTCCCAGTAGATCACCCATCTTGGGATTACTCTTGCCCGAACTCGCTTAACTTTGGAGTTCCGATGAAATCCGAAACCAGTGAGTCCCCAAAAGGCCTCATGTTATAGGAGGTGGGCATGTACATATAAGGCACATCACCCCCTCTCCATTGGTCAATGTGGGATGTTACAGGTAGTCACATGTATTCAATTGATATTTTAAAGGTTTTTAGAAGAGTTATAACTTCGTGATGTTGATGAATAATTAATAAAAAGGAAAAAAAATTCATTTAGATGCACATATTTTTCATTCAAACGTTCATGTCCAAAGTTACTTGTTATATCTGTCGTGTTCATGTTATTTTCACGAGTTGATCAACATATAAAATAGTATATAAATGATACAATAACTCTTATTACAATTTATTCTTTTTTTTTCTTGATTAATATTAACGATATTAGAAGAGAAAAGAATCAAGTTTGGGAATTCGAGTACAAGAATAAAAGATTTTAAGCAACTAAGTTAGAAGATCCCTCCGAGTACACATCAAGCAATAACAGTTGAACAATACTAATCAATCCTATAATCATGCGAGTAGATTGTCAGCCTTACCAACAATCACAAACGACATGTCGTTTATCCTGCATGGTAGAAACCCTAACCTCAAAACCCTATAAAAATCTCTCTTCCGGCTGCAACCCTTTCGCAAGTACTAGTGATAGACTTCTCACGTCAGGTACTTCGCCGTGACGTATTTATATCCCTTTGTTCCTTTTTGTGTTTCCTAATTATGTATGGATTTTACTGAGATTTTGAAATCATCAGGTTTTAATCTTGTAATTATTGCATTCTAATGCACCAGATAGCCCCTTGCTACTTGGAAACATACTAGCAGGGAAATTTCGAGCAAAGGGTTGGGTGCAAGATTCAAACTTTGAGATTTTTATCTGAATTAATGGTTTAATTCTTGTGTTTTTTTGTTGCATTTGATACATGTATATGGATTTTATGAAACAAAATTTATATTGTTGAACTTGATGTGGATTTTAAACTTGGCGTATTTGTACCGTTAAATTTTGATTTTGATCGCTGATGAGACGAGTTGAAGCGAATGCGAGCACCAAAATTTGCGGTCTGTTATGCATTTGTATTTCAGACTGTACGAGCATGGTGCGATACTGAAGGTATCATTGCAGACTTCTCTTGCATTTTTGAAATGACAGCTGAAGCAAAGCTAGGGATACAACATGTGTTGGCATTATGTCCATACATGGCATGGTTACAGACCGTTAATTATATGCATCAAAACAACATTGCAAACTTGAGCAAAGTAAGCGAACAATTTGACGGCGGTTTGGGAAAATTGTAGGTACTATATATATCAACATATATATGGATTTATAAATGTATAGAAGGTGAAATTTCTCTAAAATATTTTCATGATATGTAAATAAAAGCTTTATTTATTTTCATGTACACCTTTATAGGCAGTTAAATGTATTTTAACGAACTATGATATACGTATCATATATGATGACATAAATTTATTTATTTTCATGCTTTCATGATATCCATCATCTTAGCTTTCTCACGTAATTTTGTCCATCAATCTCTTAAGAATAATTTAAACAGAAATAGTCCCAATATATTCGAACAAGATTACATAAGCTTGATGCCCAAGGCAACATACGTTGGTTGGCAATTATTCATTCAGAAGCTACCAGTCATTATCCAATTAAAAAAATTATTTTACTTAATATTATGTACTAGTGTTATTCATTTTCAATTCTAGATGTGAAGTTTTAAATTTCGTGAATGAAGAGTTCGATACCAATTTATTCTCTTACCATTATTGTAAATATGGTTGCATAAGAAAATATAAAAAAATAAACGTTATGGTAAGATATTGCTCATTATGTTGAGATTTTGAAGAGAGTATATTTAGACAGAGCTAGTATAAGTACCCATGCATTGCTGTGGGTTTTAAAAGCATATAAAATATGTAAAAAGTTATATACACATGTACACCCAAATTAGGGGTTCAATGATGGATTTGTACTCCTGGTTAAATGCACTTATAATTTTTATTTTCCAAATCCATATACTCTTCGAAAATTCCTATGAGAAGAAAAAAAAATATTGAGAATAAAAGGGACTCAGGTAGGTACTGTTAATACAATTTATTAAAATTTTGAATAAAGAAAATAAGTACTTCGCCTTACTTCGTATCTTCCTTTGATAATACGCTTGACCCCTAGTAATTTCATGAGAAGTAGTGTCATCTCTGGTTATATCAGCCATGCTTTCTTCCTGCAAGGGTTTATTTTTAACTGCCTTCTGTCGTTTGTTTAGACTCTGACAATTTTCTTCATCATCCGGCTTAATTCTATAGGTTGGTGTAGTCGTGTTAGGAAACAAATCAGAGTCACAATGTTCATGTTCATTGTTTGTGCGACAAATTTTTTTGTTAGACATTTCTATTTCGCTTGCATCAAAAGAACTAGAGCTTCCTTGTATAGTCAAGCTTCTCTTGATGTTCCTAGTTGTTTTCCGCATTGTACTTGCAAATTAATAACCCCAAGCAACAAATTAGTAGCTGGGGAGAAACAAAAAGATATGTACAACTATATTTATAATCCAACCAAGTAAAATAAATGCAAGCCAAGAATATATGAATTAGGATTTTCAAAACACGCTATTACAAAAAATTAATCGCATACAAAATTCTTTTAAACAATCTTTAAAAGCACAAAATGAAAACTGACCTCTTATGAAGAAGCATCAGAACACCTGTTCAAAAATCCAAAAACGAAATATAGTTCATAGTTCAAAATTGTATGCATCTACAACACCAATATCATTATCGAGTGAAGATGTAGATATTTTCAAGATTTAGACACATATTAAGATGCAATAGGGATTCGCTTTTGATAAATGAAATAAATCAATGTCTTCTTTCATTTCAGGGATAAAAAATAAAGGTTGAGACTCATAGAAATGAAATTAATTACAAATCTGATATCTTGGGTTTTTATTTTTTATTTTTTCACACAAACTAACGTAATTCCAACAGAAGAGAGAGAGAGAGAGAGAGAAATAGAGAGACCTACTGATGAGTCAATTGCCAATTTTCTGAAGAAATCGTATGCTTTTTATGAGTGCATCACAACCTTAAAAAAAAACGCAAATATCAGTAAAATTGTAAATTAAAACACGAAAGAAACCCTCAAAAAAAAAAAAAAAAACTAATTAGCATTGAAGTTACTGAAAGCACAAGAAATTACAAAAAGAAAAAAAATAAAAAAGAATGAGAGAATCCACACTAAACAAAACAGAAAAGAGAACTTGCCCTCTCTCCCCTCAAGTATGGATTGTAGAATGATTTCCAGTATCGAGGTTGCTTATTATATCCTTGGGTATGGTTTATGACTTAGTGTTTGTGGTGAAGTGCAACTTGTCTATGTATGTTGTCATATTTAAATAGATTTAAAAATTAAATTTCGTGATGTTATCAAATAATATATTTTAGACATCACAATCATAAAATCATAAAACAAGTAACTATTTTAAAGTTCCTCAAATAATCACAGAAGGGAAACAAAACATAGTGTATAGATTCAATGGCCACGATCATTCTATACTTATAGATTTGACAAAACTTACTATATTGGAAGGCCATTGTTTGTTAAATTCATTTTTATTAGGAGGGGATCCGTCTTTGTTTCTTAATCAATTGTAATATTGTCTGTATCTACTTTTTATGTTGGAGATCGCATCCATGATGAATAAACTTCTTTTCCAATACGGATCCTAAAAGTTGGAACATTTATTCTAAGGTTAATAGCATCTAACATGAAATTATTTTTTCACTGCTCTTGCTTCTGCAGCCTCCTTTTACTGGGAACAGGGAGAAAATTCAGCAGAAGCTAATTCAGGAAAATTCAGTAAGGATAAAAATCAAATCATGCTTTAAAGAGATGCAAGATATTCACAAAAAATAAAAATATTTGACAACTAATTTAATTACATTATTATTCGAATACGAAAGAAATTTTTTTTTATTTTATAATCAGCATTACACGCCTTTTAAAACGTTTTGAACTTGTTTAAAAATAGAGAAATAATATTTAATGAATAGCTGATTGAATCACATTATTGCTCGGTTATTGTAAGGTACCAATTAAAAAAAGTACAAAAAATAATTATTAAAAAATACTATTAAAATGATGAAGATACCCCTATATTATTATTTGATGTATTATATTAGGCTGCTTTTGAAGTTTTTTGTTTCAGGAGTATTTTTATTTAAATTTTTTTTGTTGAAGCTTGTGACATCAAAAAATATTTTTCGCCTTTATTGTTGGATATATATAATCTAATTTAAAGTCAAAACTTATAACCCCGAAATTTCATATTCTTTTTCCATTTTTTATTCCAAGATTTACTTGTGTATGATACGAAACAAGTAAATTAAGAATTATCGTTCCTTGGAGTCTTTCAGAATTTGAGTACCCCCTCCCGCTCCCAAGATGGCACTTCTTCCTGTTGGGCTGTTTTTCATCCGTCTTCTTGTAAACCATCATCCTGCCCTATCCCAAGGTAATTTATGCATTAGGGTTTCTTTGTTATTTAGGAATTTAGGGTTTTTAGTTTGCTCAGTTTGGGGGCTGCTTCAATAGTAACTCGAATGTAGGGTTTCTTAATTCTTTCTGATTTGGGAATCTAGGGATTTTTAGCGTGCTTAATTTTGTGGCTGCCCAAATTTGGCATTGCTCCAATAGTAATTCCTATGTTTGTAATGCAGAAGCTTTGAATTTAGGGTTTCTGATTGCAGAAGCTTAGTTTGATCTGTTTGTAATGCATATGTGAATCTTTATAATGCATATATCAATTTGTTAAATTTATTTCAGAGTCACTTGTTTTGACAATTTGAATTCCAGAAATGTCTCAGTGGCCAAAAAATTTCTGTTTGTAAGATATACTGAACTGGATATATGTGAATTTGAGGATATATGTGAATATAGAAACCTGCATGTCTCAATGGCCAAAAATTTCTGTTTGTAAGGCATAATTTTTGTATGTGCAGTTTATGGTTTGCAATGTTGCTGCATCTACATTTCAAATGCTTACTTTAATTAGACTAGTTTAGTTAGAAAGGTATGATAATGAATGTGAAATGAACTTTTGAATGAGGTCTGTTATTGACATGGTTATTGTTCTTGCACATTCAAGCTTCGGTAATTTATAGGCATACGTTTTAATTGTTTTTTTGCAGGATGATTGGGTCTCGTGAAAAGTTGTGTAAATTGTCCCAATGGAAAGTGGACCAAAGGGTTCTTGGGGCATTAAAGGGCACTGGGTTAGATAATCTATATACTTTAGCAACTATTGTCGGTAGAAATGCTCATGACAATAGCATGATAGATGCTCTTGTTAGGCATTATGATGTTAGAGATAGGTGTTTTAAGATTAATAATCAAAATTTATTTTTTGGATTAGAAGATGTGCTTTTAATCACAGGCCTTCCAGTAGAAGGGACCCCAGTGATAAAGACAACAACAAACATTCATGCCCTTGAAAACTTGTTAGGGGGAGTGCCTGAAAGTGAGTTGAAGGATAAATCAAATGCGGTGAACCTTAGTTGGTTACAAAAAGAGTTTGAGCATGTACCTGAAAATGTAGATGCCAATAGATTTTCCTGTCATGTTAGAGGATTTGTCCTCTACATATTAGGCACGGTAATGGTTCCCAGTTTAGATCATGTGCACGTGAATCTGGGCTACTTGGGCTGCATGTCCGAGATAGGTGAGATAAAGAAGTATGCATGGGGAGTTGCACTGCTTTCCCATGTGCACTATAGTCTAGAGAGTCATCTTAAAAGAAGGAAAAAAGCTATTGGCAGCCACTTGTTCTTCTTAATGGTGTGGGCATTGGAGCATATCCCTGCCTTTGTGATGGAATTTTTCGGGCATGAGTTAGACACCTATCCCAGCGAGTTCCCGCTGTCTTGTGCTTGGGGAAAATTGTTTCATAATGTGCTTTCTAATAGGCACAAAGTGAGGGACTTTAATCGGCACTTGGAGCATCTTTGGGAAAATGAAAATTCGGTACACCTTTTTTACCTTTAGCTTGTAACTTACGTAGCTTTCAATTTTTTATTTTAATAATGGTTTTATTTTAATATACATGTCTTGTAGGTTACTTGGCAGCCTTATATGAGGCTTGCTGACAACTTCCTCCCTGAAGAGATTAGGGGGCAGCAGCGGATGGGAAGCTGCCGGGTGATTTTGATTCACCCGATCCACAGGTGCCCCCTCATATTCCATCGTCCTGATCTTTGCCCTAGGAAACTTGGGTTTAGAGAGGCCGATGTGACTGCCTGTTCCCCAATGCTTTCCGATCGCACAAGATTTCGAAGTTGGAAACTTCATCTAGAAGAGTGGGAGAAGTTGGAGACGTGCTTTGTGAGGAGCCGGTTAGATCAACAAGGTATGAATATTAAACCATTAGTACTGAACTAAAATATGCTTTTGTTTTTCCAAACGCTTGAACACTTTCTTTTTAATTGGTATTAGATGGCGGGGGCTTGGTGCCAGAAACAAACCAGAGAGAAGGCGGAGCCAAATCTGGAGGATTTCAAAACATAGAAAGAATCCATATTACAGTACAAGAATGTAAGAGCAAGACTCCTAATCCTTATCATCCTTGGAGTCGTGGACTGTTTGGGTGGCAATGAGATTTAGTGTATCAATATTCATAAAATTCACATTTAATTTGTGTTTGGTTAGGGTCTGAGGTAGAAATTACAGCAACAGCAGCAGCTGCTCTATCTGCATCTGCAACTCAAGTCGTTGAACGAGCAACAACTCTAAATGTTCCATCTGCATCTATACCTGTTCCGTCTGCATCTATACCTGTTCCATCTACATCAGCAACTCAAGATGTTCCAGAACCAGGAGCACAAGTTCCATTTGCATCTGCAACTCAAGACGTTGCAGAACGAGTAGCACCGCCGCCGGTTGGTGATTCATCGTCTTCCTTCATCAAAAACTCTGAATCCAAAGACAACCCATTGTTGTCGCCACCACCACCCAAAATCCCAATTGTATGGCCGCTCGACGGAAAGCTCAGCCTTGAATGGGTTCAAAACCTCATGTCCACTATGGATTGGGCTTCTAGAAATCTTGACCCAGAGAAATTTCTGGACGTGTTTCCTATGGAGGTTTTCGATAGCTTGGTCGTCAGCGCCTCCAATATCCTACACAAAGAGGCAAATTGCATTTTCGTCGACCGGTTAGGCCCGGAATCCACTGTTGTCGTTGTTGGAGACATTCATGGTCAGCTGCACGATCTCCTTTTCCTTCTAGATGATGCTGGATTTCCTTCAGAAAATCGATTATTCATCTTCAATGGCGATTATGTAGATAGAGGGGCTTGGGGGATCGAAACCTTCTTGATTTTATTGGCGTGGAAAGTGTTTTTGCCCAAGAGCGTTTATCTTCTTAGAGGAAATCATGAATCCAAATACTGCACTTCTGTTTATGGATTTGAAAAGGAAGTGTTGACAAAGTATGGAGACAAGGGGAAACATGTGTACCGACAATGTCTCTGGTGCTTTAAGCGTCTCCCCTTGGCATCCATTATCGGGAAATATGTTTATACTGCTCATGGTGGGCTGTTTCGCAGCATGGCGGCATGCCCCAAGAGATCAAAAAAAAAGAAGAGAAGGAGAATAGCTTTCGATCCTGAACTGAGCAGTCCATTGTCCCTTGGCACGCTTGAAGAATTAAAGAAGGCTCAAAGATCAGTTTTGGATCCTTCATGTGAAGGTTCGAACTTGATTCTTGGTGACGTGCTATGGTCAGATCCCTCCATGGATCCTGGTCTTTCTTTGAATACAGAGAGAGGCATTGGTTTGCTTTGGGGCCCTGACTGCACTGAGGATTTTCTCAAGAAGTCTCAACTCAAGGTTATATACAACATGGAATCTGCATTTCTTGGTTTTAGGCAATTGAATGTTAGTTTACTTGCACAGTTACAACTTCCATGTTGGAAACCAATATGTTGTGAGATATTTTGTCGATGCTATGATCTTTAACATTATGCCTTTTGTTGTCTAATTTCTGGTGACTTGCTTGTGTTAGTTGTTAAGTGATGCATTCAATTAATAGCATATTGTGACTTCGAAACATGGCATGCTTTAACTGTAATCTAGAGATGATGCACATTTCTTTTCTAGAACTAAACCTTTGATTACTTTTGGTTACTGGTGTTCCTAAGTGCTGTGAATTTAAATTTAGGTAACTTTTAAAAACAAATGCGGACAAATCCTTCAATATAATTTTGAATGATCATACGAAGTTAATTAGTCAAAAACAATATCTGACAGATGATCAGTTGTTAACCCTAATATAATGTTGACAACAAATAGGTTCTTACAATGGCGTATTTTTAGGTTCGAGTTACATGATGATTGTTAAAGCTTGTTATGAAAGCATGTATAAGAGATGCAGGTGCTCATAGTTTTGTTATTGCTTTGATAGTTTTTAACCACCTTGACCTTGGCTCAATAGGTAGATGGTGGGTGGGGTTTGGCTATGTCTTCCACTAAAATTTTACCATTAAAGGAAAGAAAATGTCTGGTTTTAATCCTTTTAAAAATGACTAGCGGCTGTAATGTTTCTGAACCGTACAAGGCTGTTGCACTGATGTTTCTCTCACACACTAAGCATGAGATGATTTCTTTGTACTCTCTTGTTACGTTTACTTCCTTTTGTTGTATTTGCATAACTGGTAATCATAATAGAGGTGCAATACTAAGATTTGGGTTATTCTATATTGTCAAAACCACAGTTGATTATTAGAACGCATGAAGGCCCTGATGCGCGGGACAAGATGCAGAGGCCAGGTCTTGATGGAATGGATAACGGGTTCACCATAGATCACATTGTGGAGTCAGGAAAGCTCATTACTTTGTTTAGTGCTCCAGACTACCCACAATTTCAGGTTTGTTTAGGATCTTTTGATATTGGTATTTGTTGTGTTCATAGTTTTGCCAAACTGCGATGCAAAGTTTGCTTGATGCATGTATGGTTATGCTGATGTGGTTTTGGCTGTTTCCTTCTAAGATCCTAAACTCAATTATCTTTATTATTAACATTGGTAAGTTCTATAGGTTTGGGAGGTTTGTGATATCAAGATAGTAATAGAAGTAAACCAGAATGAATACTTTCTTTTAACCTTGTAACCGGAAATATCAAAGATAGTAAGATAGTGATTGGATGATTCCACCCATGAAACATCTGTATAGAAATCGTTTGCATAATAGGAAAAGAGCATAGATAAAGTAAGGTACTTGAACCCAATGAAGAAAGAACCAATATAAAACTAAAATCTCTAAATGCAGCACATGAAATGTGTTTCTGTGTGTCTAAATGTATAGCTATTGACTATTTGTAACTAGTCCATCTCCTGACTCGTGCTGTGATGCTTTCTTAACTCTTGATTGAGCCTTCAAGTTCATCTACGTTTGGTTTTACTTACGGATTTTATGAAATAGTTTATGTGCCTGTTTTCGCATTCTGTAAATTGACACTAATCTCTTCATGCACATGCAGGGGACAGAAGATAGGTGCAGAAATAAAGGAGCTTACATCGTTCTGGAACCCCCAAATTTTGATAATCCTGTTTTTCATAGCTTTGAAGCAGTCGCTCCAAGACCTCAGGTATTTGTGTTTACTGATTCGAGATTCCATAAATTCCTGATAAGTATTTCGTTGTGTTGGAGCCAAATGTATGTGTTAAAAATATTTCCATGCTTTGGGGCTTCCATTGCAGGCGAATCCCTTTTACGATTTTGAAGAAGTGGCCGATTCTGATCAAGAGTTGGACTTCGCATCGATGCAGACTAGCCCGTGAAGTCCTCGGTTACCTGGAAAATTTACCGAGTCGGAGACCGTTGGAGCTTGATAACAGTGTATTAAAAGGCGAAGGCGCATGCGAGGCGTCCTATGGATATCCCCGCCTAGACGTGAGGCGAAGTCTTACAAAACCTAAATTTTTTAATATATATGTTGATGCAAAAATTAGGAAAGACTTTGGAACAACATCAAGGGTGAAGTTTGTCACCTTTCTCGGTTGCTCCGGTCACTAGTGAGGATAAATATGTAAAGAGATAGAGATAGAGAAGCAAACACAAGATGCAATAAAAAGATTTAAATAAAAACATGATAGAGATCAACGCCCATGCCATTAAAGTCATGCATGGCTAACAACTCAATACCATTACTAGAAAAATGGGTGATGTGTCTAATGATGTTGCCCTACCCCTACCACCAACCATCCAAACCCACGCATGATAGACTCCCTTCCAACCATACCGGCCCATATGTGGTTGTGAATCAAATGAAACCCACTTCAATTTGAAATTTTAATTTTAGACGAATAAAATATGCTTGGATTATGTTAAGGGGTTATGCAGTTGAAGGATTAGTTGGGTACTCTTTACACACGCCTTTGGTTAGGTTTTTTGTTTTGTTTCTCTTGTCTTTATCATTAAACAAAGGTTAGGTTTTTTGTTTTGTTTCTCTTGTCCTTATCATTAAACAAAGTGATAAGATGGTTTTTTTTGTTAAAACTCAAAGTTTAAAAAAAAATTCATTAGTGTCTTTTTTTTTTTTTTTTTTTTTTAATGTTGATTTAAGAAATGAACGGTTCTAATTATAATATGTATATATTGGGAAGATTCGTTAATGACAAGATTCACAACTAAATGTATAACGAAGTGCACCCAGCACTAATTATAATATGTATATATTGGGAAGATTCGTTAATGACAAGATGCACAACTAAATGTATAACGAAGTGCACCCAGCACTAATTATAATATGTATATATTGGGAAGATTCGTTAATGACAAGATGCACAACTAAATGTATAACGAAGTGCACCCAGCACTCTCTGTACTGTGATAAGCCGATTAAATTATAACAAAATTGTGGTGTGACCAAAGATAATTGGCTAGCTAATGTTATGTGTAGAGATCTAATAATTGTAATATTAGCCAAGTGTCACTAGATTAGGCGTTTATTATAGAGGTTGTAAAGAGTTAGCTTCTAAGCATTTCTAGCTAAGCATACGTATCTCTGTAAAAACAAGAGTGTAATTCATTCTCAGATCATTTTAATCACAGATTAGTTTCTTCTTAATTTCTAGAATTCTCTCAACTCTTCTCTGTATTTCTCTCTTTCTGTTCTCTTTCTGTACTCTAAATTTCAAGGAATGAATCGATGAAGCATCTCATAGTTAGGAAAGTAATTAATTAACCTGCTAATTTCGGCCGACTTTGGCGTAAAAACTACATGCGAACCTTATAAACACAACCCTAAAGAGCTCGATTAGTATAATGCAACGCAAGCCTTGGAAATCAAATTAACCCCAGGTGTGACGGTCACGCAAATCACAACAACATGAAGAAGGCTGCATCTAACATAGTCGTTTTCTTGGTCATTGCAACTAGTGAGCTTTTCTCACTATTTCTATTCTCTCATACTTTTTGCGGTTGCTTAGACAGACAGCAAGCTGGCAATATTCGTTGCTATGTTCTGAATGACTGCCGAGATTTATATTGTATTGATGGACGTCCCAAATGTGTTCGTCACAAATGCAAATGCGTCGAGGATCCGTATTCTCCTTCCCCAAGTCCGATTTCTTAGATTTAGTTCTGTTGTCCTAGGTATGCAAAACCAATAATCAAGTCTTCTTTTCAAAAATAAATAATCAAAATTAATTCTTGAGTAACAAGGTTGAGAGTGATTTTAATTTTCCTTACTAAAGAAAATTTCATTAGAAGGTGATTGTGAGTTTGTGATGGGTCTGTCAAACATGGTGATGGGTATGCAAAACCATTGATATCGGGCTGATAAACCATTGATCTCAACATTCCACAATGGACTACTTACGCACATCTCGCATCGATTGTCGCAATCATCGTTCGTATACTCTGTGGTGGATACACATTGAGATCTCTCAGAACCCCTCAAAGTTCGAAAAATATATATGTGAAAGTCTTCTGAGGACTATGTGAATATTTGATATGGGCTCTTTTTGTGCAGACTAAGTGTTCGACAAAATACATTTCGCAGGTTGCATAGACAACATGCGATAAGTTCTCTCAATAACACTTGTCAAATTGTTTTGGTATATGCCAATATCTTTTTACTCATACACAATTTCGTTTTAGCTAACGACAATAAGTCCACCAAATGTTCAACAGAATGATTTTAGTAAATAAACTAAATTTTTTTGCACGCTTTACGCTCTGTTTGTATCTAAAAAACTTGAACTTTTAACTCTAAAACTTCTCAAAGCTTCAAATTTTGGATCTGTCACTGGTATATTAGTGCAGAACGTAAGAGCAAGTGATCCAATTATTTACTATCTCATAGTCCACGTCTAGCATTAATGAAGACTTCATCAAGCTTTCACAATCAAGTATGAATTGAGGCTGAAACAGGAAACCAATGCAACTTGAGGGAGGGAGTGTTGATCCTAAAAATTACAAAGCCTACATGGTGTGCAGGCCGAGTAACTAATGAGCTAACTACGTCCTTCGGTTAATGCAGGGTGTGCCAACTCGTCGGCCGAGCTTGGCCGAGGAGTAAAATTTGCTGATGTTGTGTTGAGCGCATTGCTGACTTCTTAATCTTGCAATTGCGGCCGAGGAAAGAACACGTCTCGGCCTTCGGATTCTCAAGCCTGAAGACAAGGCTGCTAGTTCTGCGAAGTTCAATATCAAATTCGGCTTTCAAAGTGCCGAATGTAGTAACTTGTTACACCTCACTTCGCCGAGAAGGCTAATGAGATGACCTCTGCCCATAAAAATTCGAAAATCCTTCTCGACCGAGACTTGGATAGATACCCAATCGGCCTCGACGCAGCGCTGTTTATTCAAACTGAAAGTGCTCTACGGTCGAATGGTTCTACGGCAATAGTGATGTTTATCCAACATCAAACTGAAGATGTTTGCCGGTTGCCTTCACAATGCTGTTTATCCAAACTGAAGATGCGTCGGCGGAAAAAGAAAATAAAAAATCTCAAGATAGATGTTTGAAAGATTTACGCAGGGCAGTTGTGTGTTGACTTAGAGGTCCTTGAATATTGTCTGCCGCTTGATATTTATAGAGATCTCCAAGCCCAAGTCACGGAAACCAATCCCAATTGCATTGTGACTCTAAGTCTTTGTTGGTCACGTCTTATCAAACTTGCTGTCATCTTGTAACCTGATGCAATCCTGTTTTTGACTAATAACCCTTATCCATTATCATAACCTTCTGCCGAAGACCACATGCATGCATGACCCCTTCACCAATTCCTAGATAAGATCACGTATACCAATCCAATTCATGAATTCCAAGTCAATTTGAACCGAACCACCCACTTTTATATCAAAAAGAGGACTTAGGTTTTGGTCATAATTAGCCACATAAGAGACTGCATACACTTGGAGTCTGATATAATGAGCCAATTCGAATGTCTCTGCGCAATCCTTTGAAGACGGATTGGATCATTTTTTTCCCAAAACAACCATCTGAATATATTAAAAATTAGGTTTTAACTATCCTAGCTAATATTAAAAGATAATATTATGATTAAAATCAAAATATTACTTCTCAATAATAACTAAAACTCATTTCAACCACCTTATCATCCAACAGTAAAAAATCTGCTAGTTCAACGATCTCGATTGCTCGAGCCGATAGTGTAAATTTGGGCCCAAATAGAGAGAGAGTCTCAAGTATATGAAATTTTAACTAACATCGTATCTTTGTCCAATCTCGTGGACTTTGATGGGATAAGAGAAACCCTTTGAATCTACAGTGAGCTAGAATACGCGGACTTGCTCTCCGGTAAAATTTCTATGAACTAGGTTGCCATTTATTTGAAATTTTTCAAGAACTCGATCAGCAACGATGCTTCTACGAAGCCACTATATGGATTACAGCCTATCTTGAGAGGAGTGGTCGTTAGCCGTTACATCTTCTTCTAGCCAGCGGTAAGCTCCTAAACCATGAGCTATTGACGGGGCCAATGAATAATTCATCATTTCACAGATTTCTGAATTCTTCTGGTTGAGATAACAGAAAAACTGAATATGCTGACAAACCTAGGCCACTTTCAAACGCAGCACTAACAACAGCCATTTTTTTGGTGCTGCTGTGCCCACTGGGCAATGATTGCTGTATTTCCGAAGCCGCCAACAACGCTAGGTTTAATAACCTGAAAGAACCAATATGAACAACCTAAATCAGGAACACGCAATCGAATGGTCATAAATTTCAGTAACAAAGACACCAAATTGCAAAAGATTGAGATACTAATGAGCAATGTATAAACTCACACTCACAGTAGCTACTATTCCCGGATGGGTATACTTCACCAGCTTATCAAGCGGATGTTCTCTAGTACTGTCAATAGTTTCATCCAGTGCCACAAGTGAACCACTTTCTTTACAGAATCCGATAATATCGCCTTCATTTTGAACAGGTTCCTGGAACAAATAGATAGTCTCAGGGTCAACGATGGCATTAAGATACATTGACAACTATCACTAATCCTAACAAATATAGATGAGGCGAAAAGTTAAATCGTTAAAGCATGCCAACCACATAAACTTTGATCTGAAACAGATTCCATCCCTCGAGAGGGAGTGGTAATGTAGAGTAGAAATGTTGAGTTAACCAATTTTGCAGAGTGAATGCCTCTAAATACTGCAGATCGCAAATCCTTTACCGAGGATCCAAACTGGATAGCTTCTTTATACGTCCAGTTCCGATTGGCGTCAGCACGAACGTGAATCCGGTATCCAACTTTCTTTCTCACTGCCTGTATAGCTACCTGTTGCAAAAATCATTGGAAAGCCACAAACCAAAGCCTTCACTTTCTTTGATGCATAATAACAAAGTCGTATTGACAAGAATATTTGTAATGGTAACAATATGAGTTCAGAGAGATGAGAATAGTGCCCTCAGCTTTACTGCAGTAAATCCTTCTTCCACAAGTGACGCTACAACATGAGCTACTTGTATGGGTGTCCCATCAAAATCAACGAGGGCAAAAAGAAAGACAAGAACTAACCTTTTTGAACGAAGAAGAAGATGATGAAGGTGCAGAGTGAACCGCGGTACCAATTCCGAAAACTCGTCGGGTTTCATTCACGTACAGCGATTTATAACTCGGGTTTTCGACATCCTTGCCCATGAAAAACAGAGGATAAACCGCAGACGACTCCAGTTGACTGCATGCAAAACCAGTTCAGGCTTTTGGCACTCAGCGACACAGCCACCTGTGAAATTCGCCATCAAAGTCCACAATTCAACGCACATTGTACGATAAACCAGTATGGAACCGGAGATTTTTAATTACGTGAAACCTATGAATTCCGGTACAAGTGGAAGGAGGATTGAGCTTCAACTCCTCAACGGCCTCTCTGATCTTTTCAAGTCCTTGAGGAAGAGTCAACGCTGGAGTCAGCGTCCACGTGACGCCGGCCTCGATCACCAAGTCACCGTCCTCCGTTTCGGACACTTCGCGGACTTCGATCTCCGGGCCGTCGAATCTTACTCCTCCAACGGCCTTAAAGACAAAAATAATACGAAAAATCAAATAGAAGTGACATCATTTAAGTGGAAATAAATGAGAGTGGAGAATTTTTTTTTTTTTTGAGGGAGTCGAAAATGGCGGGAGTTTGGGTTGAGGAATAAGAAGGGCGGCCGCGGTGGCGTCGTTGTGCGCGGGAAAGACAGGGACCTCTTGCCATGCAGGAAAGAGAGAGAATTTGTGGGAAATAGCATCGAATGTGAGGAAGAGAGAAGAAAAAGGAGGGAGGGGAGTTTCAGAGAGAGAGAGAGAGAGAGAGAGAGAGAGAGAGAGAGAGAGAGAGAAGTGAAAGAAGATGAAGGTGGAGAGAAGGGGATAAGGAAACAGTGTCGTCTCTGCCATGTGATCTGCACATGAGGGTACATCACTTATCATTATATAAATTATGGGATTTATATATTAAAATGTTAATAACTTAAAAAATAAAATTTTTTACCATTTATCTAAATTACCATCTATGTTCCTGTCACAATTACAAATTTTTCCTCCTGCTGTTGCTGTTGATGTTTCTGTTCTGGTGACCGTTATACATTTGCATTCCTGTGGGCTAATTGGGTCTATTGGGCCTACTGGTCCTATTGGGCCCAGTTTAATGTCGATTGTCGGTTTGGTTTTTCAGGAATGGGATCATTTCGGATCATTTTTATGAGGATCCTATGGAGCAATTCATCATATCTGTTCATTAGTTATTTTACAGTTAAAAATTATTTTAAATTTTTTATTTAAAATTGAAAACAAAGGGTATCTATCGAAAGTTGGCCGTAAAATATACGATGAACGATTAAAATAAATTGATCTCTAGAATCCTCACGAAAAGAATCTAGAGAGGATTCCAGTTTTTTAAATGGGCGAATTTTGTTAGATCTTCTTATCAAAAGGGGGATTTGAAAACAGGCTGGATAAAAGAGGTTGGAGTTTATCTTTGAGAGGAGTCTTTTTCAAAAAAAGTAAAATTATCCAACAACAAAAAAAGCATAAATATTTCTATAAAAAAAAATTATTAATTTCTGTAAGCATTTTAGAAAATGTCTAATTCCTAATTTGAATTAGGCTAAACAAGTATATATTTATTTTTTTCTGAGAGATTTAGAATTAAGCTAAACAAGTATACACTTTTATTCCTTTTTAATCATTTAACTTTAATAAAAACATTAATTATTTTCGTTAATTAATTTTACTAAATTTCATTAAAGTTAATTAAGTCTCTTTTAGAAATATGCCACGACATCCATGCAGCTGACTAGGACGAGTCCAACTGATGACGTAGCACAGAACTCTCAGTCAAACTCTGCGCATGCCAAAAGCTCACCACACGCCCGTCACAATTTTTCGTCGTCCCAGTCCATGCTCTCCAAACTACCCTTCTTCATCTCAAAATTCAGTGATTCACCACTCCAAACCAACTAAAACAAATCTCGCAGCAAGGGTATTCCTTGAATCTATAAAACCCTGATTCCAACAAACTCAGCTTCACACACCAACATAGATATCCCACTACTAAGCAAGTACTTCAAGGGCTGCCAAACTCTACGCCCTCGCCGTCATCCTCCTCCTCATCAGCATTGCCGGCAGCTGCCGAGGAACCACAGCAATGTGGGTCCAAATCCAAAGGACAATGCCACGACAAATCCAAGGCCTTGATACTGAAGACCATTGCTTTATTTGCCATTTTGGTCACGAGCATGATTAGTGTCTGCTTGCCGATGTTTTCACGCAAGGTTTCGGCTTTCCAACCCGGCAAAAACATGTTCGTCATTGTCAAAGCGTTCGCCTCCGGCGTCATACTTGCCACGGGATACATGCACGTTTTGCCCGACTCGTTCGATTGCTTGACATCCGAGTGCTTGCCGGAACATCCGTGGAGGAAGTTTCCATTCACAACGTTCGTGGCAATGCTTTCAGCCGTTCTTACTCTCATGGTGGACTCGTTTTCGATGAGTCACTATAGGAAATATTTAGTTCACGGTGCAGCTCGGGGCGAAGATGACGAGAATGCTAAAAATCGCTCTTCTCAAATAGAGCCTTTTGGGTATGGTCATGACATTAAGACTGAAGATGGACTCGACGATAAGGATTCACAGTTGCTGAGATATCGTGTTGTGGCATAGGTATTAACCTTATGATTTTGTGTAGTTTGTTACGCATGCTCGAATACTCTTAACCGTTTAAACTTGCTTACCGTATTCAACTAAATGAAACCTATTAATCGAGCATTACTTTGAAACTAAGTTAGGGTTTGAATCATTTTTAACTGAGTTGGAGTGTTGATGCATGCAGGTATTGGAACTAGGAATTGTAGTGCACTCGGTAGTGATTGGATTATCAATGGGGGCATCTGATAATCCATGCACAATCAGACCACTCATTATTGCCCTTTGTTTCCATCAACTATTTGAAGGAATGGGACTTGGCGGATGCGTACTACAGGTAATTATTAATTCAGTATTCACCAACTAATCTACCAGCCTGTATTTATTAATGAACAATACTTGACTACTGAAAGATGAATAGGAATTCATACTCAAAACTCTTAGTGTTTTAATCACAGAGTTTTGTGTTTATAATCAGAACTGTTCATACTATGAATCACACTGGAAAGACCATTTGTGCAAAAAATAAATTTAAACTAAGGTCATTTAGTTAATCTATTATAGCAAATACATAAACAGTTTGTAATATTTTTACCAATACCGTTCATTGGTTTTTTAAACAGTTTAATGACTAAACAACCTTAGTTTTAATTTGATTTCTTGCAGAGACGATCGTTATAGAATGATTTATAATATGAACGATCGTTATAGAATGATTTAAGTAACCAACTAAAGTATAAATTGTATAATTAATCCTAAAACATGCTTCAAATTAATGTGGCTTGCAGGCTGAATATGGTATGAAGATGAAAGCAACAATGGTGTTCTTCTTCTCAGCCACGACACCGTTTGGGATAGCACTAGGAATTGCACTGTCACATATATACAGTGACGACAGTCCGACGGCTCTGATTGTGGTCGGGTTGCTAAATGCTGCATCTGCAGGGCTGCTCAACTATATGGCGCTGGTGGATCTCCTAGCAGCTGATTTCATGGGGACTACATTGCAAGCAAATGTGAAGCTCCAAATGTTGTCTTATATTGCAGTTCTTTTTTGGGGCAGGAGGCATGTCAGTAATAGCCATATGGGCTTAGCCTAACAGATCAACAATTATGTCAGATGGATTAATAAGATAGAATAGGATTGTGCTAGCTAGCTGCTTAATTATGTATTAATTAGCTGTGATCTGCATGTACAGTAGGGTTAAACTTTTTGAGAATTTTAATTTATTCAGTTTTCAATCCTCAATTGGCAACTAGTTTGTATCCATCCATGGCATTCTCCTGAATTCTTTTAACCAATGAAAGCTACTTGAAAGTTGCCACTTGCGAGTGTTTAAAAGCGTTTACTCTTGCAATCGGATGCAGAAGAAGTTGTGTGTTCAAAATTTAAATCCCCTCTCTCCAGTGTCGTTCTAATCATTTCTAGGACTACTGACCAATCTTATTTTCCTTTTGGTGGGAACTGCCAACTAATATTTATAAGTTTTCCAAACCAAACTGCTAATTAACTAGTACAAGGTTACTCAACTAAGCTGAGCCACTAGTTTCCAGCTCTAGAGAAACTTCTATCGCCATTTCCATGAGTCCATCACTGGTTGAATTAATAATATTATTAATTTTGATCTGTTTGCTGTCGTGTTATTATTGTTGGCCTGATTTCTCAACTTTCCATACAATACATCATCATCAGCCTTTTCTTTTCTTGAACAAAAGGGTTATTAATGGACTAGCACTAGCACCTAAAGTTAATGGATCCGAAATAAATTGTTAATTACATGTTATAAAAATCGTTTTGTGAAGAAATATTTGTGAGGATATGAAAGTATAAAAAGTCAAACAATGAAAAATGAAAAACCGTGCAACGGTTTATAAGAGGTTGAGTCATCACTACTTATATCGTCAATTGGTTTATGATGAAACTTCAATTTCTTTCACTCTCGTTGTGGTGAGTCTAATATCTAATTGTTACGTATGAGTCTTCATGTTGTGAATATAGCTTTGTGAATATCATATTGTTAGTTAAAAAAAAGGAAATTAGTTGGAATTCGAAGGTTTTGCAGAGTTTAGGTACATTGGCTCTGTGAGAAGAGTACTCCAAACGTATAGTTTCCAATGATGAAGATGAGCCATGTGGTACTACTATTAACATTAGTGACTAGAAAGTTAAAAAATTAAAAAAGCTGTTCGCTAGAATCATAAACAAATCTGAAATCGTGGCTATAAATTGTTCCATGCTCATGGGTCAGGCGTCGCAAATAGTGAAAGATGGAGAGGTCTCATTCCAAAACTAAAATTGGAGAAGACAATAATAGGGCCTCAAGAGTGTCCCTCGATGCGGTCAAAGAGACACTCATTCCACTCAAGACCTTTTTAAAAGCCTTGCCTTTAATAAGTGGCTTTTGTTTGCCTTATGAATACATACCACTTTCTTCTCAAATGATACTTTTCTAGATATGCTAAAAACAGTAGTTCATATTTTATATTCTCAAAGTGATTTTTAGTTGTTAATATATGTCGACATGATTTTTGCTTTTTTTTTTTTTTTGTCAATTAATTTTTCTTTAAATTTCAATCTAAATGTTATAAATAAACAAAGGTGTGTATGCAAAAAAATAAGTGTACATAGAAAGAATATTATAAGTGTGCATAAATCACTTCCTTACCATAATTATGTTCTTCCTCTGCACGCTTTATGTTCTCTTTTTTCACATCTCTGCTTATTTCTAGTGTAATGGTACAATTTTAATCACTCTAAGTACCAAATTGTTGTCGTATTAACTATGGGTAATTAATTAACACAATCGGTGGCCTTTATCCACATGAAATTAAGTGGGGCAATTAATCTAGGTAATGGAGACACCCAGCTTTGAAGTTGAAAAGCTTACGCACGCACTTTTTGTGGAGTTAGGTTCAAAGATGACGATCTAAGATCACAAACAACAGTTAATTGCGCATTTTCTACATAATGCAAGTGCAATTGCTGTCATTAGTAAATTAGCTGCCAGTTTTTGGTGGATCAAGGAAAACATGATTGTGGCTCTCGATGCTTAGAGAATCCTCTTAATCATTCTTATAATTAAGAATTCAAATTGATTTATCAATGTTGTATGACTTTTTAGTCAAAAGGATCCCTGAGATTTGCATAATGCATAACTTTGATTCCTGAGATTGAAAATCAATAGAAATGGTCCTTGAGATTGTCCACCATCCATTATT